AAAAAAAAAAAAAAATATTCTATAACTACTACTAATAATTTTCTGGTCTCCTCGCACCACCAGGCTACAAGGAAGTAAACCCACTGTGTGTCAAGGTTGGTCCCCAACAATGTTCAGTGTCCTGTATCCTCCAGGGCAAGAGATGACCACGGGGGCCACTGGGGGTCTCCTGGAGAAGGGGCTGCTTCCACTGAGCAGTCACACCCCAGGTTTCTCTTGCCTTTTAGGCAGGAAGCAACGAGCCTTTCACTGTGGAAATGGTGTGCATGAGGCAGAGGAGCAGGCACCACCATGCCAGGAGTGTCATGCCATCACCACCCAGGCACTGAGACCCAGAGAACAGGATGCTCAGCCAAGGCTGGAGCTGGGCTCAGAATCCAGTGGGGGTGACCCTGCCTGGAGCATCCAAGCCAGCCCCCAGGGTGGGGGACAAAGAGCAGGAGGGGAGGACCCATGCCACAGGGGCAGGGCCAGGCATGCCCTTTCCTTCAGGAGAGAATTTTGGGGCATTAGCTACCACCTGCTTCTAGCAGGAACCAGGGCTAGAAACCACAGCCTTATGTCATACACAAATGAAGGAATTCCTAGGGTGGGAAGAAATCATTGCTCCTCAACACAATCACCATGAAAATATTTATTTGTGATAATCAGAGGTCAACAGGACCAGCATGAGACAGACATGGCCCACATGAGGCTGTCACAGTCAAAGCTCACACACAATACATTCCCACAGAGCATGGCGGGCTGAGGCTGAAGGAACCCCTGAACCCCAGGAATGCCCCCTAGCAGCAGGGCCAGGGGGCGACATGTGCTTTGTGCCGAGGCTGAGCAGCCTCCAAAGGGTTGGACTCCTTGTAAGAGAAGGATCGGGCAGCCCGCCCCTCAGCCCCACTGTCGGTACAGTATGGCAGGAACTGGATGAAATTCTGACTCAAAAACGAATCAGCTAGAGGGTAAAGGCATTCAGAATGTCACCCCCACAAGTGCCTCTTCACTCCCGTTCCCCAGAACTGACACCTACACCTCCCATCACCAAGAAAAGGGTTTCGAATGGCTGTGGGAGCCACTGTCTTGAGCTGTGACAGGTTCTCTTCAGCTTCTCGTCACTCTCAAGGACAAACAGAAACCCATCAGCCCCTCACCCACCCTGCTTGAGAAGCTGCGTCTTGGGCCAGAAAGGAACTCCAGTGGCTTCGAATGCTGCTGACCCAGTGGGGATGCTTTTACTTAGGATGCGTTTTCTCTGTTTCAAGGCCATTTGTGGGCTCTCGAGCGTGGGGCTTAGAGTGGTTCTTTCTCCTGTGCTCCCACCTGCCCAGTTCTGCTGACCCAACCTGGGGCTTGCCCTCGCTGTTTCAGAATGCACCCTCTGGACAGTGACACCCCAGCAAGCAGGGTGAGTGGCCTGAGGCACAGGAGGGCATTTCTCATCAGAAGGGGTTTCCTACTGCACAAAGATCACATTTCCCACAGCAGATGGGGGGAAGGAACAGAGAAGAAGCTGGCATCCCCTAGCAAGATGCAGCCCCAGACGGCAGCTCAGAGATGGAAGCCACTGCCCCTGCTCAGGACAGGGTCCTGCTTGGCTCAGACAGGGGAAATTTTAAAAACACCTGTTTATTCTGCCAGAATTAAAACAAACAAAACACCTCCAGGAAGAAGTTTAAAATATTCACTAAGTTAGATCTAAAGTTATTAAATTCTGTTTTAAAACAAATGAACACAGTGTTGTGCTTGAAGGCAGGAATGTGGTTTATAAGACACCGTTCTTAAATCAGCATCTTTGCACATTAAGCACAGAAGACATTCTGTGCTGAGGACACACTGTAGTCACAGGAAGACAAAGTTACAGACAGCCCAGCACAAGGGGGCAGAGAGCCTGGGGCCCCCGCAGAGGCTTTGGGAGGGCTGTCCAGCCCCAACCTGGACTGCCTGGACGTGAGGACACACATGGAGCCTTGCTGCTCACTGTGAGGGCTGCACAGATCACAGACACTGGTTCCCATCATCTCACAGAGAGGATTTATATACTTAAGAAAAAAAAGTCCCTTGAAGGGCAGTTAATGTTTAATTTCCCTGGAGGGGGCCATTGCAGAGACCTCTGCTGAAGACACAGGTAGTGTTTCTCCATGGTTCCTAACTCCTCCCGCCTGCAGAAGGCCTGCCAGCCAGTACTGGTCTTGCACTGTCAGAAAGGGACTGCAGCCGGGAAACACAAAATATGCCCTGCTCTGTCCTCAGCTCCAAGGGCACATGGGTTCAACCCTTCTATTGGGTGTTGGGAGCCACAGAGGGACAGAAGTTACCCAGACCAACCAGGCCACCAGCTGGGCTGAGTTCCAGCCTTTCCTGGCTTCAGACTAACGATGGACTTTCGGGCAGCAGACCTAGCCTCTCAGAACCACCCTCCCTGAGCCTGGGAGCCTTCTGAGTGCCACCTATGACATGCTCCCAGGACAGACCCAGGCCCTGCGCTGGGGGTAATGAGAACACTGCAGCTACCTCTCTAGTAGACATAGGGGTGTCTGGTTCCGAGCCTGGGTCTGCATGTAACCCACAAATCTCTGGGCTCAGGCAGCTGCTTGGGAGAGGTCCTAAGCAGACCCCTACCCCATGGGAAGAGGTGCCTGAAGGAGACCTTCACAACTAGCGGGGCAGGGATTCCCAGTTGTTGAGTCCAGTCACACAGACAGGGGCCTCTGATACCCACAAATATGGACCCCAAGGCCCCCAAGCAGGGCCAGAACGTCCTTGTGGCAACTAAAGAGAGGCCAAAAGCTCACACCACCGGAGGCAGACATGCAGAGCAAGGGGCTGTCCTGGGGTGCCAGCAACTGAAGGCTAAGCCTATCTACCACGTCTGACCTGCCTCCTTCTCCTCAGGGTCAAGGGCCACCCTGGGCTCCAACAAGCAATGTTTATTTTTTTATCTGGACAACAGCAGTAGGGGCTGTCAGATGAGGGACACAAGTGCCCAACTGGAGCAGGCGCAGCGTCCTCTGCACTGTCACAGCCCTCGCTCGCTCCCTGTGAGCTAGCTATGCCAGGCTCAGTCCTCTGTAAGATTCAACGACTTAAAAACTGCTTCTACCAAGTGGAAGAACAGGACATCAAACAAAACATCATTTTGACAATCACTGATATATATTGCAAAAATAACACAGACGTACACAATTACCTTAGCAGGACTAGGCAAATGATTTAAAACTGATTTTAAAAAGGATCATCCTTAAGGTCTACAGGAGGCAGCTCGAAAAGCTGGAACAAGAAAGTATTAAAATTCTGTACCCTGATCACAAGCAGGCAATTCTAGGCTAATAGAACGCTCATGTTAAAATAAATTATTTTGCATGTTATTCAACTATGGAATAAAAACAAACATTAATTCTAATTTCAATCCAAGCTGTTATCAAAACCCACTGTCAATGCCCATGGTAACTTCTAGGATGGGGAACTGTAAATTGAGACCACCGGGGCCTCTGCTCCAGCCAAAGATGGAATGCCAACCCCTGCCCCAAGTGAGCCGGAGACTACACGGACGGCCCAACACCATGGTCAGAGCTTGTGTCCCTCATGGAGTGGGAACGTCAGACACCTGCTTCCCCAGGAAGCTAACATTTCTACCACTGCCCTGTGCTCCACAAAGGCACTTGAGCTCTCAGAAACCCACAACTTCCTTCTGCTTAACCATGTGGCTCAGGCCACAGACCCTTCCTGCCTGGTCTGCACAAGGAGATGTGCAGCCCAAGGAGATGAAGAGGAAGCTTCAGATTGTGCCAGGGAGTTCACAATTTTACGGGCCGCTCTCGTGAGTGCATTCTCAGCCTTCTGAGCATAGCACAGGGAAATAAAAGAGTTAAATTAACATGGGGACTCAGCCATAACAAGGCTGAAGAGCTCAGGTGTCCAACCACACGTCCCAGAGCATACTGCCCTTGAATGAGGCCCCTGCACCTAACATTCCACCTGCAGGGCGAGTCTTTCACCATCTCACTGAGGAAACACATTTAGGTTCTTTCCCTAGCCCTAGACTTGCTCTTCATACAAGAATAAAGGGAAAAAACAGCTTTGCTTACAGCTGGCAATATGGCACATGCCCAGGCTCTAATTGGCAGTGATGGCATTTCCAATTGAAGTTGTATGAAGGCCTAAGGGCCCAGTGACACTGGCTGGTCCCTATGCCACAGACTTCCTTCTTCCCATAGGGACCAGTGGCCCCAGGGTGGGGAAGAGCCTGCAGTCTATGTCCTCAGGGCTAGACTCATTGGCCCTGGTGGGGGAGCTGGACACTCCGCCCCCAAGGACACCTGTCAGGGTGCATCCGGAATGGGAGTGAGGTGGGCATGAGAGACAAGCCGGTGGGGCAGCTAGTCCCTGTACACCAAACACCTCTTCATTTCAGGGCATTTTTCACCAAGGTGGGGAGCACACAGCTGCTCTCTGAGTCCCTCTGGAAGACACCAGAACTACATTAGAAGGTGCAGGCTCTGGGAGAGCCCATTTCCTGGGGGCCACATGGGCCCCCACTTCCTAGTTTCCCTGTTCCTCTCCAGGCTGTGGGTTCTCCAAAGATACGAACCTCTACACCTCCAGAACCAGCATGCAGGGATGGGGGTGGGGGACTGAGATCAAGGCAGGCCAACATGGGCATCCCACCTGGGGGACCCCAAACTCTGACCAAAGTCGGGCCAGGAAGTCACCCCTGAGCAGTAGACACCTGGACTTGTATCAGAGCTGATGCTGTGGCCTTTGCAGTCCCACCCTGCCCATGGGGTTTGCAAGCTGCCCAACCCCCCACACGTCACCAACACCCTCCCATGTGAGGGCAGAGAGCTGCGCTAGTTTCACCACAGGTGAGGCTGGCACAGGACGCAGAGTGGACGGTGGAAAGGGTGGGGACGAGCTGACTCAGCCCCCCATCCCCGTCTGCACATAAGCACTGTTGCCCCTGCACTGTCACCAGGAGTATGTGCCAGACACTCGGCATTCAACCTGCCATGGTACAAAGAAGGTGGGTGACTTGGGGACTTCCTCATAACTTAACCAGCTGCCCTGTTAGCATCTCCCTGAGGGCTCAGCAGACATGAAGGAGGTGCCTGTGTGCCACAGGAGGTGCTGCGGGGGTCTCGGGGGCCTGAGGGCCATGCTGACTTTCCTGGGCCCTGAAAGGGCCCCTGTCAAGGCGACTGCAGCACCTGTGTGCGTCAGAGCAAGGTTACAGTCAAATGACAGCGTAAGACAGAAATGCAAGGGGGCCTAGTGAGCAGCAAATTAAGAAACAAAAATTCTGATGCAGGAACAAAAGAGTACGATCAGAACGACAATGAAGATATTTGGCATAACTCTTCCAGATGCCAATGGCTAACACCCCACTTCTCAGAGACAGGGCTTCTGTGGGCAGTGGCAGCCAGCGGCCCTCACAAGGTTCCCTGGTGGAGCACTGGCCTCGCCTGTCCACCCTTCTCACGTAGGACGCCCCTGAGATGGCAGATGGGGACTGGTCTCCCCCAGGCCCAGGAGCCTGGCGAGAGGGGAGTGGGTCTTCAAATCACAAATTGCTGTGACTGCTTTTTGTTTTTCACAAAGTGTGACTGGCACATTTCACGATGAAGACCAGTTGATGCTGGACACTCATGAATGAAAAAAATATCAAGTTTCAGTCATAGCTCTAAGGCAGACGCTACCTTTGTTCACAAGGACAAAAATGGAGACACCGACACACTGTGCATTGGGGCCGTGTGCGCTGGACCCTCACAGCACCGTGGCCTGGATGACGAGCTCTGGGTCCTCGATGTCCTTTTTGCTCTGGACCATCCTCAGCTCCAGCTGGGCTGAGCTGGGCTTCAGTCCTTCCCCGGCCTGGGCTGCAGAACAAGCCACAGGTTATGGAGAAGGCAGGCATGGGAGTCACCGAGCTCCCGTTTCCCAAATGCTTCCCCAGTGCCCATTTCAGAAGCACACACTGCTGCCCTCAGTCCCACAGGCCAAGGCCGGCCTGAGCCACACCTCCCAGCTCATAGGAGAAACCCACCACACCCCTGGGGATGGGCAAGTGACATCTCCTCTCTACTGGCTGCTGCTGGGGCACACAGACCAGCTCTCTGTGGGAGGTCAGTGAACGGGCAGTCCTGCTTATGGTACCTTTTGCACACCGGATGGTCCTCTGCAGAACATGGTGCATGGCTGACAGGGTCTTCTCACAGGCCATCTACAGGGAGACACGCTGTGACCCACAGGGGCTCCCAATATATTCATCGCTGCTGGGAGGGGACTTCTGGGGCACACACAGACTGTCCCACCCTGTGAACCACCAGGGAGCCGCCTCTGCCAGCTCACCTGGTCCAAATCCTGCAAAGCTGACTGTGCATACCATGGACCCCTGGGACAGCCCACTACAGAGCCCCTCCCTGGCACAGCCCACCACCAAGCCCCTGGACAGCCTGCCATGGAGCCCTGAAGAGCGCTGAGCAGTGCCTATGTGTTAGAACAGCCCCCTCAACTCTTGCAAGGTGACAGCTCATGACCTTTGCTGCCATGAGAGTTCCTAGAATTAATTATACAGAACCTACAGGAAAAGAGCTCCAGCCCAAAACTCAGCCAAAGTGATCACTGGAAGCATCTCAAAGTCAAGGGCTTGAGGGCGCTCAGCGGTGCTGGGGGAGCACCAGAACTCTCTGCTGACTCTGTTAACACCAGGGTGGCAAAATCGAAGACATGGTTGTGGGTGCACTGGCACCGAGGCCTGCTCAGGGCACCAGCTGCCAAGTTTCTGCTGCCCTGCACCCAATAAAACTCACACAGCTCCAACCACAGAGGGATGGCCTGACAGATCCCCGGCCCTTGAGGGGCCAGGTAGGGGGTAAGGCTGTAAGGAGACCATACAAGCCTGCGGTGAGTTTGGGGTTGGCTGTGAGCTTGTCCCACGGGAGGGGAAGGGCAGCAGTCCACACTGTCCATTTCTTTTCTTTCTTTCTTTTTTTGAGACAGAGTCTCACTTTATCATCCTTGGTAGAGTGCCATGGCGTCACAGCACATAGCAACCTCAAACTCTTGGGCTCAAGCAATCCTCTTGATTCAGTTTTTTTTGTTGTTGTTGTTCCTGTTTAGTGGAAATGGGGTCTCACTCTTGTTCAGGCTGGTCTCGAACTAGTGAGCTCAAGTGATCTATCTACTCACTTTGGCCTCCCAGAGTGTCTATTTCACAAACCTGGAGTGGAGTCTCAGCCTGACTCACTGGGGAGAGATCTGCCTACCCCCAGGGAAATGCAGTCCCCTTGAGGAGTCCAGAAAAGCCAGCACTGGGGAGCTGACTCCAGACCTGACGTCCACACCCTCCCTGCCCTGTGTGTGCTGCGGGGGAGCACGGGTATCTCTCTCCCTCCTGCCTCTCTTGTCCAGTGTTCCCTCCCCCTGCCCGAGCCCACTGTGCTGCACAGAGGACACCACGGAAGCAGGCTGGGTGAGCCCCAGGGACGGCACTGAGAGCAGACACACTGGTGGCTGACTGGCGGGCCTTGGAGAAAGTGATCTGATAAGAGATCACAAGGTGACTTTTCTGCATACAGGGCAGGAGATCAGAGGACCAAGTGACATGGCTGCACAACACTCCCAGTCCCTGTTGAGCCTTCTGTTAACCACCTTGCACAGGAACAAGGCCACAACACCCTCAGGCCAGCAGTGCCAGGAAGGGAGCCAGGTCTGTGCAAATGCACGGAGCAGTGGGATGGGCCTGGGACCACCCACAGGAAGGCATTATCTCCATGCCTGGTGCCACCAGATGCCTGCAGCCCTGTACTTGGCCTCCCTCTCCTGGTCCCCAAAGGCCACGTCCTCAGGCCCTCAAGTTGCTGCAGCAGTTACGCATCAGGAAAGCACTGCCCTGTGTTGCTCAGCTAGGAAAAAGGAATGGCTCTCAGGCCATCAGGGATCCACAGCTTAGCCCATGTCACGGCTCACACCAATCCTGGGCAGCCTCATCTGAGCTGGGGTGGGACCCAGCCGCCCCCACTGCACATCCTGAACACGTTCTCCCACCCAAGCCCCTGCCACAGCACCCTGATCATCCTGCTTCCCAAATGCAGGAGAGAGGGAGGGGACCCGATGGTGACTGGTCTGACCCCAAAGCCCACACCCTGGCCAGTGCTTAGGGTCAGGCCCTTTCAGCTCAGCCTGGCCCTTCTCCCCTATGAACCATCAGACCAGCTTCCCTAAGCCACAGGAGCAGCTGTGGGGTGGGGGGCGGAGAACAGGCACGCTGCTGACCTTTAGATTGTTGGGGTGTTTGTGTGTCCACGCCAGGAGCATGGCAGCAAAGAGGTCCCCAGTGCCCACAAAGACAGCGTCCACTTTGCGAATGTCCATCTGGATGCGTTCAGTCACCATGGAGCCATCAGGCCTCCCTGGAGGAGAAGATGGGCAAGGCTGCTAGGACCCAGGCCTGCACAGCCAGGAGAGGTCGGCGTCTGTGTCTGCTCCTTCCCAGTGGGCCAGCAGGGAGGGGTCCTGGTCAGGGGCCCCATGGCTCAGCACATACATGGTGCTCCCTCCTACCCCATCCCAAAAGAAAGTGACAAATTGGAACCTCAGAAGGCCATGCGGTCAGCATGGCCCAGGGAACACCATGCAGCTCCCAGAGAGAGCAACAAGGGTGTGTGGAGCCAGGACCTGCCTCGACATACTGAAGTGCATGTGCATGGGAGTGTGTGTGAGCCCCGTGCCCACAGGGAGAGAGCAGCAGAGAGGCCGCACAGCACTGCTCCCTGGGGCCCAGGGTGCCAACACAAGTCAGTCACTCTCTTGGCATGTGACCCTGCCCTTCTGTGTCACCTTCACACTGTTAAGAGAAAGCTAACCCAGATGGTGTTTTTTCCCTTGAACAATCAGCATGGCCCAGCAGAGGCGCCCTCCAGCGAGGTCAGGGACCTGCTCCTGGCTCCGAGGGACACCGTGTACACCCCTGCCAGGCACATTGATTCCAGCACGGCCCCTCCTTACTGTGTAGTCCAGGGCATGTCACCTGAACCCCCAGAGACTGTGAGTGCTACTCGCTGGATGGGGGGACACTAGGGTGACCTGACAATACTCTCAGGGCCCCCCATGTCACAGAAGCTTCCCTGATCCTGTGTTCAGTGTGGTTGGTCTCATCGCCAAAGGGAGCTTTGGGAATTGCTGAATGAGGAATGACTTTAGTTCTGCTGAACCCAAACATTCTTAAAGTGTCAAAGGACATCTGAGCAGGCAGGACCAGAGGAGCCACACGTGGGCAGTGGGCACTTACTCCTCCGCTGGCTGCCCAGCGCCATCAGGTAGTCGCTGCCCCGAGAGGAGGGCAGGTCGGAGCTGGTGATGACCACGGTGTTGGGGCCCATGGAGTGCAGCACGTCCATCACCTGCAGTGCACAGGGGCACATCAGCCCGCTCGCCCAACCAGGAGCAGAGATGGAGCTTCCAGAGGGCAGGGAGCTACTCTGCCGGCCACTGTCCCCCTGCAGCATGAGATCACACCACCAGGGATGGCCAGCAAGAGCTCCTAACACTCTCCTGCAGGGCTTGGTCTAAGGAGTCAGGTTCAGAGAGGCTGAAAACCAGATGGCCATACCCACCAATGGCTAAGAAAGCCCCTGTGCCCCAGCGCTTCTGGGCTCACCCTGAGCATCTGGGAGCAACCTAGAAGGGCTTGAGCGCTGACCTGGGGTCATGAGGCATCTTCCCACCTGCAGGGATTCAGCAGGGAAGTGGACAGTCACAGGCCTATAGCCAGGAGGACCTGGCCTCTCAGGCAGAGGTGCCCTTTACTCCAGGACTGAGTTCGGGGAAAGATGAGTCCCTGTCACCCCACCACGCATACCCCTCACACACCACATTTATGAGCACACCTACACCAAGGGTGCGCCACCACCCACTGCTGGTGTCCATGGTAGAACCAGGACGCTTCCCATTCCACCCCGGCCTCAGAAGGAACCCTTACCGCCAATGCTTCCTCCAGGCTGTGGATCTTCCGGCCACTTAGTAACCTGGAAGACAGGCAGGGACTAGGTGATCCCCCCTGGTTGTGTGTGACACTCCCAAAGCCATGGTGGCTTTGCTCCCCCATCCCCACAGGGAACCATGTGGCGTCTGTGAGCAATGACAGAACACCACAGGCTACTGGGACTTGTGGGTGGGATGCTGAGGGCTCAGCTCACCCCTTGGCATCAGATTCTCCACTTAAGTGGCTCACACACCCAAAGAAAAGCCTCTTGAAAGGGGACTTGGGCACGTGGGCCCTGAACATTCCTGACCTTATGGAGAAGCCTGGGCAGCTGCTCTCTGAGGCATGTCTGGCCAGGTGAGCCCTTGGCTCCTCAGGGCACCTCTGTCCTTTGCTTCCCCAAAGGGCTCTGCCACTCAGGAAAACTGCTGAGGACAGCAGAGCTGTCCACACCACCTGCTGCTCCCACTCCAGCAAGGCTTGGGCCCCAGGGGCTCAGGTGCACAGGGCTTCCCCAGCTCAGGGATACTCCACCCCACCTCACTCATGCCAGTCCCAGGGCAGACATGGAAACCTTCCAGTATGTTCTAGCACTTTCTCTGCAGCTCCCCTTGGTGAGGGGCATGACAGCTTTAGCCTCCTAAAATTACTTACTCGGCCTCAAACTGGTTGGGGGTTATAATGTCTGCAACCGGCACAACCTTTTCTCTGTAGACTGGAAAGAGGTCCTCCGGGACGTACTGAGAAAAGAGGAGATGAAGACAGCAGTGGCGGGAACTCAGGGATGTGAGCCAGGCAGCACCAGGCAGCACGCCCATCAGGCCTCTGCACCCGGGCTGGAGCCAGGGACCCTGCCCGGGGGCCGCGCTCAGCTGTGGAGCTGAGACACGGGCACCACATGGGGCAGTGTGTGCTCCCCGGAGCTGAGAACTCAGGGGCTGAGCAGGGGGCACCACATGGGGCAGTGTGCGCTCCCGGCCAGCCGGAGTTGGGAACTCAGGGGCCCTGAGGGCTCCCACGCAGAGGGTCGGGGAGGTGGGTGAAGGTCCCAGGCTGTGAGCTCACTGTCAAAAGGACCAGAGGAGCACAGAGGAAGGAGGGAGGTAGAGACAGAAAGACTGGAGGGGAGGTAGGAAGACTGACCCCAACCACCACGGAGGGCAGATGCTAGTGATGGCTGGTGCCCATCTGGACCTGGAGCCTAACTCAACTGTTCTTTGTGGCTATGGGTCAATGCACACTTAATCTATTCATCTTTTACTTTAAGTTGTCTGACAAACAGTTCGAAACAATAGTTATCTTTGGCTATGAGATTTCTTTACAAAGGACCCTGAAGCCCAAGGGCACGGTGAGGACCCAGAAGAATTCTGTTTGTTCTCTGGCAGTGGCAGACATGGCCTGACTTTCCAATCCCTTCTATTACTTTGCTCCAGGGAGCCTGGGAGCCTCCATGGATATGAGAGGCCCCTACCAATACATGGTAGTATCTGGGGCTAAGAGCACACAGGTGGTCACGTGTCAGCATTGAGGATGGACAAGGTGCCACCTGGACACCCCAATCCCTTGGCTTCAATCCATCAGGTGTGACCATGACATCAAAGAAAGTGTCTCTAAAGCCCAACTGCGGGTAGGGAGGCCTCATGCAGAAGTCCAGACACAGGTTTACTGTTGATCTGAACCTAACACGTTCTCTCATGTCTGGGTTGGACTGGGCTTGGCTCACAAGGGAAATCAATGAGATGGAGACGACAGACCCATGGACAACTCGAACTGTGGCCTCGAGTTGAGTGGACTCAACTCTTGATGATCCCAACACAAGCACCTGCTCTGGGCCAATGGAGCCCACCACAGGGAACAAAGGGACAGCAGGAGGACTGCAAGGTGGGAGTCCCATGGCAAAAGGCAGTGTGCAGGGAGCCATCCAGAAAGCAAGCATGACAGTGGACACAGAGACAGATGCGGAGAAAGGCTGCCTGCCACCTCTGGTGAAATGGCCTCAACTGTCGCCCTGTGGGCAGGAAAGTGCCGGCCTCCGTGCAGAGCAGACAGGCAGCCACACGGATGCTGAGCAAGCCAGCCTGCCACCTCTAGTGAAATGGCCTCAACTGTTGCCCCATGGGCAGGAACGACCCCGGCCCCCATGCAATGTAGACAGGCAGCCACCCTGGCCTGCTGCACTCAGGGAGCTAACAGTGTGAGCAGATGGGCACATGGAACCACAAAGACAGTGCATACAGAAATCCTACGGGTGTTTAGCTGCTGAGACTGAAACCCACAGGAAGGATAACCTTGGAGTTCCTTCCAATCTAAACCTCTGGGCCTATGTGCTGGCCACAAGTCAGGGCCGGTCAGCTCTGGCTGCTCCTCTATTTAGTACAGCTCGCAAGCAATACAAAAAAGCCAGAGAAAGCTAAAAAATGTCAAAGAGTAACAGTTTTTGACACATGAAGATGATAGGAAATATGAACTTCAGTGCCTATAAATGAGACTTTATTAGGAAACAGCCAGGTCTGTCACCACAGAGACAGATGACCCGGAAGACCTAGAATGTTTGCTCAGATCTGGCTCTTTACAGGAAACGTCTGTCAACCCCATTTCTCCTTCCTGATGAGAGCTGCACCTATACCCCTAGCTGTGTAGTCTCCCTGAGTCGAACACTCGGGGGGGGGGGGGGGCTCTTCCCGATTCCAGCAACAGAAATAGCTGTACTCGCCACAGCTCTGAAATCACATGCACGAGGTGACTCACCATCGAGCCTTCACCGTTCCACTTGTCACCCATGACTGGATCACACACTGCAGAGACAGAAGGGCTCATCAGCAAAAGCTGCAGCTGATGAGTAACAAACCATCAATGCTTTTTTATTTATTATTTTTTTAACGTGGTAAAAAATATAAACTTTGCCATTTTAACCACTTTCAGGTGCACAGTTCAGGGGCATTACACATGTGCTGTTCAACTAGTGCCACCAACCATCTCCAGGAGCTTGTCACCACCTCATACTGAAATTGTCCCTATTAAACTCTAACTCCTCCTGCCTGAGCCCCGGGCAACCTCTAGACTGGTTTCTCTCTCCAGAGATTTGCCTGTTCCAGATAATCCCCGAGTAGAATCGTATAACATTTGTCATTTCGTGTCCAGCTTCCTTCACTGAGCACAAGGGCCTCTAGGTTCACCCATGTCGTGTGTCAGAATTTCCTTCCTTTCTAAGACCACATAACATTCCACTGTGCAGACACACCACGTTTTGTTGACCCACTCATCCATCCACGGCCACGTGGGCCATTTCCACTTTCAGCTATTGTGAGAAACACTGCAGGCGGGAATGTGCAAACATCTGTTCAGGTCTCTGTGCTTGGTCCCCCGGATGAGCACCTGGCACGGAGCTACGGGTCCCGTGGCAGCCGCTACGCTGCGTGCTGGGGAGCCGGCAGCCCGTTTCCCATGGTGGCTGCACTGTTTTCTGTTCCAATTTCCCCACGTCGCTGCCAACACCTGTCACTGTCCATGTTTTTGGCTATGGCCACCCCAGCTGGTATGAAGGGGTTCCTCAACATTTTAAACTTTGTGTACTTATTAGGGCACCACCGGAAGCATGAGGAAGGGCACAGCCTCCCATTTTTATTCTTCACATCACCCAAGAGAGACCAGCAACCCCGTCCCTCCCCCTGGCCTCGGGTGCATCAAATCCAGGCTTCCCCCAGAGCCAAGAGGCCCGATCTGGGCCCACACTCACCATACACGAGCCTGGGGTTTTGCTGCTTCAGCTCTTGCACAATGTCCACCACCATGGCCAGGAATGACTTGTCCCTCGTGTAACCTGGGGGCAGGAAACCAGGTTACTCTTAGGAAACAGGACATACACAAGAACCCACAGTGGCAAAAGGAGCAATGAGCAGCAGCGAGGGGCCTGGGACCTGTAGCCTGTCCAGGCAAGGGGCACCTGAGTCTGCAGTCAGGGGAAGCAGCCCAGTTTGTCTCAAAGAAATGCTGAGATTTAACAGAATGGACCCAGGAATGACAGGTGTGCGAGTAACTGTTTCCTTTTTCTACATTTTCCATTTTCTTGTCTTTCTTTTTTTTTTTTTTAGTAGAGATGAGTGTCTCAATATTATCCTAGCCTGGATAATATTGACATGAGGATCTCAAACTCCCGGCCTCAGGTGATCCCCTGCCTTGGCCTCCCAAAGTGCTGGGGATACGGCTGTGAGCCACCACACCCAGCCTATTTTCCATTTTTAGTAATTAACATATATCACTTTTAGCCAGGTGTAAAAATACGAATTGTTGGCATTTTTTAACCACAAAGTTGACAAAGAGTACCAGTGCACTAGTGTGTCACTTGCTGAAGCGTTTCACCTGGACCCCTCCTCCCTCAGGTGGCACTGCCAGCGCCCCACCTGGGCCCTACCCCAGGCACTGGACCCCCAGTGTGGCCTCAGAAGTAGTAACCTGGCAAAGCCAGGGCAGTCACCAGCCCAGCGGACGACAGCATGGCCGAGGGTCCCTAGGACACGCCAAATCCCTCCTGAAGGAAGCAGGTACCAGGGATGAGCCTGGGTCCTCAGTCCCCGCCAGCCCAGCCTTACCTGTGAGCACATAGTCATACTTGTTCACGTTATTCAGCCTCAGACCTTCGTACAGCTCGTGGAGCTCATCTGCGTTCAGCACCTGCCCCTTCCAGTGCGCATAGCCTGAGGGCAGAGTAGACCACGCTGCGTGTGGGAGCTGTGAGTCCGGATGGCCCATCTTGTTCCTGACTATACACTCTCCCAAGGACACTGATGGGCTGGTACCGACCTTGAATGGGATCCCCTGAGCATGGTGCCATGGCAGGTCCCTCGTACTCCCACCCACAGGGGCCTCCAAGCCCTGGAAGGACACCCGCTTGCCCACTGCCAGGGGCCCTATCACTGCCATCAGCAGTTCCCTGCCTTCTGCTGACCGTTCCTGCCAGAATGAACCCTGCAGCTAGTGTGCAGCTGCCCAGGCCTGCCGATGCTGCGGGACCTGGGTCCTCTTTACTGATGGCATGTGGGCAGGAAGTACCCAGCACACAGCTGCATCACTTCCCACATCCTTTGCGGGAGCATCTGAGTGTACCCCATCATGGCCTCCACTGCATGAGTTTCCTGCTGTCCAGGGTGAGCTGTGGGTCACCTTCCCCCAACACCGCCCTCCTAGCTCACTCAGTCACCAGGAAGGCACATCTCAGATCAGATTCTGAGCAAAAAGGTGCTGTCTGTGAGGCTCAGGCCCCAGCCGGGGACACCCCCAGCCTCCGCCCCCCGGTAACCAGGGTGAGAGTTCACACCAAACAGGCAGACACATCAGCATCCTCCTCCTGGAGAGGGCCCAACCACAGCCCCATACCTAGTGCCAACAGGAGAGCGGGTGGCCGCAGATCCCCCACATTTCACCCGTGAAGCACACCTTCACCAAGGACCTCCTGGCCCCTCACTAACAAATGCCCTCCTCAGAGCACGGTACAACCCTCTGGACTGCTGTCCCCAGAACAACAGAGTTCAAGCACCAGGCACCAGGGTAGGTCGTGGCAGTTCAGGACACACACTTTCGCATGCTGATTTCCTGAGCGCCTTGGCCGGGCAAGGCTCCACAGATCCTGTCCCCAAGGACAGGTGTGCCCTTAAGTTGTGTGCTCTCTGGAAAGGATCCTTTGGCTTTACCTTCAGCAAATGCACCAAATTCCTGTCAGAAGCAAGGCTGGATGGGGGTGATAGAGGGGCACAGGCCCACCCAGATCCCTGAGAACACCTGCCTGAGGGTTCCTCTGTCTCAGGTTAATAGCACCCGGGGGCAGGGAGGGTCAGGCTCAGGGCTGCCAGTGGGGTGGTTCCTGCTCCAGGAAGGCCTGGGGCGGCTCCAGCCCTCGAACACCCAGGCAAGAGGCAGGGTCAGGAATCCTCCGTCCTGCCCTGTGGCTTTCTGGACCTCCTCCTGGCCAGGACATCAGCCATTCCAGAACAGGGCTGGCTAGTGGCCTCGTCCCTAATAATGGTCACATTCCGAGGCACTGGGTGCTGATGCCCTATGAATCTGGGGGTCACAATTCAGCCCCTAGGTCTCAGACAGCACTAAATAGGGGGCTTGGTCCCACACCTCCTGGCCCTGCCGCCAAGACTCAGTATTGGACTAGAGCCCGTGAGAATGTTCTGGAACAGGGAGGAGGGACACTTGGATCCTCTGTCCAACTTATCCAATTTACAGATGTAAAAACAGAGGCCAAGTGAGTGGCTCCCCCAGCAGTCCCGGGGACCTACTGCCCCTGTCACACTCCAGCTCACCAGGGAATTCAGGCCAGGTCTGGCCACTCATGTAAGTCCCTCACTGGATGTCTATCCCTAGCCCTCGAAGACCCCAAGGCTCCCTGTGCCCATACCAGCCATCCCTCCACAGTGAGAACCATTGAGCCCAGCAGAGGGCCACCTGCTCCCCCATGCCACATTTCAGGGGCCACGTCCAGCCCCCTTCCTGATGCCTTCAGAGCCTGGAATCTGGGGGCTGGAAAACCCCGAGATATCCTGAGGGAGCCACTGAAGCACTTGGGTTCTCTCAGCCCAGCTGCCCTGTGGGTGGGGTGGCTCAACAGGTGCAGCATGGCCTGAGGGAATGGGGCAGGCCCCAGGACAACAGCCGGCGCGAGGGGCTCCTCACAAGGCTCCCTCTGTCAGCTCCTGGAAACTTGGGTGTCTCCATGCGCCCAGTCTGGTCTATGCAGAGCACCCGCTGCCCCTCTGGGAGCCTGAAATTCCAGCACGTCTAAGCAGGAGGCCATACAACCAGCCCCAAGAACCATCTGGGAAAATGAGTCTTTGAGGAGCTCCCTGGGGATACCACCACACTCTTATCATCACAGGCCCTTGCTGGGGGGTTAGAACCCCTCCAGCTCCTAGATGTATCCTGGAGAGAACTGAAAACACGTCTACAGAAGAATGTGTTTAGAAATTCTGAATTGGAAAAACAAAAAAAGAACATGTAGATCAATGCTGGCAGCCCGGCCTACAACGGCCAGAAAGAGGACACAACTCAGATGCCCCTGGGGCCACCGTGGACCAGGGTATGTGCATGTGGTTGAACTTGAATGCCGGTGACCTGTGGCATGACCCACATCCTGAGCAGGACCTGGGTGGCAGAAGGAACATGCCACGGAGCCTCCCTAGATAGCCTGAGACCCACAGCCCAGGACCAAGGCACTAAGGAGTAAGAACTGACTGACCTGCCACCTGATGTGGGTGGCAAGTCCTTCTTGCCCTGAACAACTGTGTCCTGGGGGTGAGTACAGTGCCTGACAAAGCGCCTCTAGTTCTCCAGTAAAGCATCAAGTCCTTCCTGGTGGGGAGCCCAGGACTCTGCCAGGACGCATGTGGAGCCCAGATACTGGCCTGGGCATGTGGAGGGGCTGTGTGGGGGCCGCTGAGTCTATGTAACGACCAGCTTCCTTGGCTCCCACACGCTGCAGCGGCAGTTTTTAGACACAGCCTCACTCTGAGCAGCACAGGGCAGGCAGGGGTGAAGGGGAGGAGATCGGTGAAAGGGACCCAGAGGCAGCCTTGGGGGACCACCCTAGATGCCTGTGTATAATGCTGCACAGACAGCTCATCCACAGCCCAGGTGCAGGGCATCCAGAGCCAGCCACAGATGGCACTGCCGAGGGTTCTGTGCCAGGTGAGCCTGCCCGGCATCTGCAGGAGGCTATGAGGGGCTCTCCCAGGACCACAAAGGTGGGCCCCTGGGAGGAAAGCCCTATTCCCTAATCTCACTCTGAACCTCAGAGAGCTCTCCAACTCCTGGGGTCTGGCCTCCATCCTCTCCCTCCTGGGGCAAGCCAGATACTCACTTCTGTCTTTGATGCCTCAGGATGGTCAGCCTGCCACCCACTGAGAAGCTTCCATGGGTGCCCAGAGGACAGCCAACCACACACAAGCCCCAGGGCCTCCCCTTCCCCATCCTGGAGCCAGGTGCAGAGGGTGGCTGATCACAGGACCACAGAACCTGAAGAAATAAACTGAACCCTCACTCAGTGTCCAACCCTGTGGGGCTCATTTACTTAAAAATAAATAAAGAGGAGGTAGGTGGTCAGGGCAGCCAGGAGGAACACATGGGTCTCAAGGAGGCTCCAGGAGGACTGAAGGTTCTTGGGACTTCTCCAAATTTCTGAGCACCAGGCACACAGCAAGAAGAAAGGAGTTTTGGTGGGAACTGGAGACTCTTCATCTGGATCAGGCAAGTAATTCTTTCCTCTCAATTTATTATTTTCAATAAACCTCCTCCCCAAGAAGAATTCATCCAAAAGAATTATTAGAGTCCCTCCTGAGAACCAGGGCTGAGGTGGAAGGCCCCTCAGATCCTCCTGGTGCTCTGCTAGGCTGCTTCCAAGACACTCCAGGTTCTGGCAGTTCTGACTGGGCTCTGTGTAATTTTAGCAGAGATGATGTGTGGGAGATTAAAGAACCAATGGCTTTGTTCTCCTGCCACTGAGGTGGTGTGGGGACCACAGAGCAGAGATTCCTCCAACCTAAGGCCCCCTGGCATCAGGGGTCAGGAGCACAGCACTCATTCCAGATATCTCAAGGGGCTTCCAAGGGCAGCAATGCTCACCCCCATGAGCCACAGACACCCACAGGCCCGGGGATAGAGCTCAGCCCCCAGGCATGCACAAAGGACCCCAAGGACATGTTTGCAGAACCCCAGACACACATGAAGGACCTCAAACATGCATGCAGGACCCCAGACACGCACGAAGGACCCGAGAGACAATGCATCAGGACCCCAAACACAATCAAAGAATCCCAGACACACACATAGGACCCCAGACACACACGAAGGACCCCACATACATGCACGCAGGTCCCCAGACATACTCACAGGACCCTAGACACGTAGGACCCTAGACTCGCAGGACCCCAGACATGCACATAGGCCCCATGGCAGTAGCTAATAGAGAAAACTGAGACCAGCAGAACCACCACATGGTGCTGTCCTCATGGCCAAGGCATCACCTTGTGGACAGGGGTGGACAGGCACTCTCTACAGTGCACAATGAGAGTGACAGAGCTGCCTCTAAGCGTCTTATGCAATTTACTACTGAACTGTCCTCAGGCAGGTGCTAGGACTGCCGTCCTTTTCACAGAGAAGGAAACTGACTCACGGAGCAGTTCCCGCACCTACCCTGGGGCACACAGCCCACAGCGGCTCACACTCTGTGACGGGCACACAGCCCACAGCGGCTCACACTCTGTGACGGGCACACAGCCCACAGCGGCTCACACTCTGTGACGGGCACACAGCCCCACAGCGGCTCACACTCTGTGACAGGCACACCCAGACCCTGTACCCCATACTCTGTGGTGCCACAGGGAACGTCACCTCGGTTCTACATGGATAGCTGAGGCCAGCATCTTACCTGTGTGGTTGGAAAACTGGACAGAGTTCACTGTGTCGATCTCAAACCCCAGCACCTGCAAGACAGAGAAGGCACAATAGAGGACAGCCAGGTCTGCGTCCCAGCAACCCCAGCAACCCCAGCAGCTACCTGGAGGGGAGCGACCCAAGAGGCTGGGCAGGGTCCCCCAGGCGCAGGCTGGGGTAGACAGCTGGGGACCAGGAGGCTCTCCCTAGTCTGGCTCAACATTTGCACTTTCAGGGACACCTGTGTCTGGCAACAGACACCTACCAGCCCTAAGGATCGGGACATGGAGGCTACTGCCCAGCCTGCTGGGACAACAAAGAAGCACATCACAGATCATTCCAAAAATCTCACCAAAGAAAAGTACACAATGAAACTAGCACAGCGTGTCTGTCCAGATGGCTCTGAGGCCATCTTTGCTGTGGGCTTTCGGACCCCACTCTGAGGGAGAGGGACAGGGCCCAGGAGTGCACAAAGGAGGGGGTGGGGAACCAAGGGGAGTGGGGCTGCGCAGTCACATCCCCAGGGCAGTGGCCAGGTGTCCTCGGCTGCTTCTCTTTTCTCTCTCTACCTGAACAACCAACCAGTTCTCAACTTAACATTCAAACAAGGCAGTGTCTCAGTGCCAGCAATTGGGGGAGCAGCCATCTCTGGAGAGGGCTGGGGCGAGGGGGGAGCTGTCTTCAGGTGAGGTTCGCTGTATGCTCACTCACTGAGCTGTACACTTATAGTCTATGTTCACCAGGGACTTTCTGGGCGAGCACAGTTAAGCCAGTATTGTCACTAAAATAATGAAACAAAAATTAGCAGTCTTTCTAAATTCACTCCCTAACTCTGTGGCCAACCATTCACAGATAGCTTGCAGTGTTCCAAATCTCTTAAAATTCTAATCAACTCTGAAGGATTTTAAGCAGCAGTAACACAAATCCTGACAATCCTGCCAAAATATTCTGCTCCATTGCTTCTGGGAGCGTAGCTAATTAATCCTTTGGGGCTAGCAAATGTATTTGGGAACCAACTTGCTATTTTCTGCTTCTAAGTGAGAGCGAGAGCTAAGCCCCTGAGCTGGCTTCTCCATTTCAAACACCAGCATCAAACTCAGCCTAGTAATCAGCATCACATGATGGTTAAATGCTTCCCAGTGCACCTACAAACTGCATGTGCGGCAGGAAGCCACACTCAGAAGGAAGATGCTGCTGGCAGGCTGGGACCCCAGAGAAAGGGGCCTCTTTAGTTGAGCTGGGACTCGTCCTTCAGCTGAACTCACCCTTCTGTGCCTGGCCCTGTCATGCTGCGGCCAAGACTCTGGAAACTGAGACTCTGAAAATCACATCCCTGCACTGCCAGGAGGGAGGAACGTGCTCTGCCTGGCAGCACTCCTCTCCCCCCAGGCTCTTCTTCCCTGGGGCAGGGACAGTTCCTTCCCATGGTGCCTTTCACTTTTCCACTTGCAGAATTTCTCATCAGGCCCCCCTCCCTGTGACCCATCTTTTCATTTATCCCAAAGTGTCAGGTGCGTAAGGCTGGGCTGACAGGTGTCTCCCTCATGGTATCTTTGTGCTCTCCCTGCCATCTCTTTTTTTTTTGGATGGGATCTGGCTTTATCACCAGGCTGGAGCACAAAGGCGCAACCATAGCTCACTGCAGCCTCAAACTCCTGGGTTCAAACAGTCCTCCTGCCTCAGCCTCCTGAGTAGCTGGCACCACTATGTCTGGCTAATTCTTTAATTTTCTTTGTAAAGACGTGGTTGCACTCTGTTGCTCAGATGGTCTTCAATTCATGGCTGCAGTGATCCTCCTGCCTCAGCCTCCCACAGTGCTGGGATTACACGTGTTCCCTTTCTGTCTTTTCCTTTCTCCCAGTACCTGGCTTAACAACCGTCTACTACACAATGTTAATGCAATTGCTCTAGTTTCTGCTCCAGGCTGGGCCCTGTCTGACATCCCCAACACTAGAAGGAACAGCTGGTGTCTCTTACCTCTGCCCAACATGCTGGGCAGACCAAGGGCCTGCACCTGGACAGCCTTCAATGGGACCAGACAGGATGCCCTGGGCTCCTGCTGACCTTCAGGACCACCCCCACTGCAGGCCACTTTAGTGACGGATGCTCTAGGTATCGTCTTGGGAGAGAAACACATTGTTTTATAGTAAGTCTTGTATACAAATTGGCCTACAGGGCTCCTGTGGCAGAGGGATTCTGCGAGCAACCTTCAGTGGCCCTCAGTCATCCTGTGTAACCGTGGAGTGTGGCTGAGGCTATGATGGTGATCTCCCTCCCACTGTGATGCTACTGTCTACAGGGGTCTCATCTGACTACAAACCTTCCTTGTCTCAGGATGGCGGGCAAAGGGGAAATCAGAGCAGCAGGAAGGTGAGGAGAACTCACTGAACCGCCGCAGGCCAGTGTCTGAAAGTGAGTCATACTGGGAGGTCAAGGTGGATGGATTGCCTGAGGTCAGGAGTTCAAGACCAGCCTGAGCCAGAGGGAGACCCCCATCTCTAAAAAAATTGCCAGGCATCATGGCAGGCCCCTGTAGTCCCAGCTACTCAGGAGAGAGTAGCTTGAGAATCACTTGAGCCCAAGAGTTTGAGGTTGCTTAAGCTATGACACCATAGCACTCAACCCCAGGGTGACTGAGTAAGACTCTGTCTCAAAAAAAAAAAAAGAAACTGAGTCATAAAACTCACACTTGCATGGATTACAGTAAGAGCAAACATAACACATATCCGGCTCCCCATAGTCTCACGCTTTACCTATGCTCTTGAGCTGTGTCTGTCCACGGCACCTGTTCGGGGGATACTACATGATGGGGGCGACTGCGTCTTGTCCCACCCCTACCTGCTGCCTTCCGCTCAGCCATCCTGCGAGAGCTGACACCAAGGAAATGGAGACACACAAGTACATCCACCCTGCCAATCTCTACAGTTACCATACATGGTGGCACACAGTCCCTCTGGAATTCTCCCAAGTGTCCCATCTCTACAGCCAATCCCATTCCTGTAAGGGCCCTTCTGCTACCATTCTGCCTATGCCCCCTGCATGTGCCCTCTATGAAGGGTCATCCCTATCAGATGTCCCACTATCACAGCCCGATGCCCACCAGCCTTATCTCCACTGTCCTGTGCTTTTGACGCTGGAGCTGCAGAGCCACCGGCCGCTCTCTGAACCCCCCAAAGCCCTGAGACCTCCTTGTCAGCTTTCCTCTCCTCAACTCAGCTGAACTTTCTTTTAGCCTCCAAGACCCCACCTTCCTGGCCATGCTACAGCACTCCTTTCCCAGGTGGGATTCTCAGGGTTTGAGGCTCCCTGTTCCCCATGTATCTCTGACAAATCCTGGCCCTGGTCAAAGCACCTGGCCGCAAGCTGCACCAGCAAACCCACCCCTGACGTGGGAAAGACCAGAGTCTGGTGGGAAAGCTCCTGCTCACCACAGTTGGGAAGATTCCTGATGCAGTGGTAACTATGTAAATGGGAAGGACTACTGGGGGCCAGAGTTTGCCTGTCAAGGCCACCTCCTGTCCACCATAAGCCTTTCAGACCATACCAGGCGTACTCAGAACAATCCCAGGCAGAGCCCAGCTGGGAGCTGCCTCCAGCTTCCTCCCCACCCCCACTGTGGGGCCTTTCACTGCAGTCACAGGACTGGCACTCCCTCCTGACTCCCTTCTCCCTGCCACCCACAGGCACTGGCATCTTCCTGCCAGACTCAGAAGTGCCACATGCAGGGATGGCTGCCTCGGGTGGGTGGCATGTGCTCTCGGGGGCCACATGCCTGCTGAGTTGCTGCCTTATGAACCAGTGAGGCAGACACAGCAGACACTGTGACTGCAGCAGCTCCCTGGTCTGCCCTCCACCACTGAGGCAGAGTGACTCAGAACTGCAGAAGGACACTCTGGAATGTTCTGGTGCAGTCTTCCACCCCGGTCAAACCTCTTTGGCTCAGGTATCTCAGGGGACAAAAGGATGCCTGCAGTACATCAGTGCTACAGGTGTCCCTGGCCAAAGGAAGCCCTGCTGTGGCCACTTCCACAGGTAACTCGAGTATGGAACAGGGAAGGAAGAGCATCACCTGCTCTCATCCTGCCCACCATGCCCATGTGTTACCAGACGGCCCTGCAGCTCAGCGCAGTCACCTCCTGTGTCCTCTGACCTCCACTTCTATGGGCATGGTCCTGTGTCCTCCCCCACAGTCTCCCACCTCCTTGAATATGCACCCTTGTCTCAGCATCACACCTGTGCCTCATCACTTCAGCCCCGTCCTGCTCACAGCACAAGGACACCCTGACTGCCGTTTCCAGGCCCCGGCCCCAAGCAGGCCCCACAAACTGGCTGGTTAGAGTCTGCGGTGCTTGGCACACTACAAAGCTAAAGAGAGCTCATGGCTGAAACAGAAGCACTGGACAACCAGACAGCTGGCGGCCAAGTGCAGATGGTGCAGAGGCAGCATTCCTGACCCAGCCTGGGCTCCTCAGCATGGCTGCAGCTGTGTCCACCCCACATAAACATTGCCTTTACCCCAGCTCCTTGGTCTCTGCCACTGGTGACACCCTACCCTAGACGCTGTAATTCTGAGTCTGGTCAGCTAGAGTTCCCCACCTCAGACCTTGTTCCCACTCACAGCAACTGGGCCCTGGGGTTGGCCAAGCCTGTGTCCACCTCTCTGGCTTCCTCAGTTTAGCTACCCAAGGACAACCACACTTTCAGGTGCTTGGAGGCCATCACAGATGAGGAAATAGGATGGGAGGCTGAGGGTGGCAAGTGGGTGGGGGCTGCTGGCTAGCATGCTTATCTCAGTGGCAAGAGAGAGGCCCCACGTGGGGCCAGACTATAGATGAACAGGATAGTGCCACCTCTCCTGGGCCACTCACAACACTGAGCAATACCCAACACACATTCACACTTGCTCACCAGTGTTCACACTCACACATACAGATGCAGGCCCATGCCCACTTGCTCACTTGTGCTCACACACAGGCATGCTGACACACACACAGATGTAAGCCCATGCAGGCCTGCTCACCTGTGCTCACACACATGCATGCTGACACAC